CTCGGCGCAGAAATTTAAAGGAAAAGTAAAGTGTTGGAGACATGCAAACAGACAGCCTTTTGTCAAGCGACGGAAAAACCTCAGTTTTTTACAGCTCTCACTAGTGTTCATTGGGTCCCCACTTATTGCTGGGGGACATAGGTACTTTTCAGCCTCACCAAGGCCCCAGTAAGACTGTTGTTGTTAAAGGCCTCTGAGTCGATTTCAACTCATAGTGACCCCATGTGACAGAGTACAACTGCCCCATAGGGTCTTCTAGGCTATAATCTTTACAGGAGCAGATTGCCAGGTCTTTCTCCCAAGGAGCCTCTGGGTAGGTTGGAACCACCAACCTCTGGGTTAGCAGCCAAGTGCTGCCACCAGGGCTCCTCCTATAAGATTAGAATAAGCTATTTTGGGAAGAGAAGGGTGGGGTTATTTTAGGCAAGTGCCAAGCCAAAGAGTGGACCTTTTACATTTGACCTATAATTGTTCAGCCCAAGCTCCCTAACCTGTATCATACGTATTTCTACCTACTGTTCATATTCTACTGCCTACTTTGATGATGGATTTAGAAAGGTGACTGAAATCAATAAATCCCGTAATTTCAGCAGAGTAATTTATTGTTTCATCTTTTTTCAATATTATTTTTAACAGAATAGTTGAAACCTAATTAGTTAGGAATTGTTCTTAAATGAAAGATAAATGAATTTGAAGAAATACAGTTGTATGTGTTCAGATGTCATCACGTTACTATGTATTTACTCTTTAATGTTTGTTTCACTAATGTTTACCATAAAGCATAGAGTAAGATAATAAGACATCCAAAATGTGACACATAATTACAGAGAGAAAAGAATACTGGACTTGTGGATTCCACGATGTTTTAATTAGAAACCTAAAGAGTATTCTTAAGTAAAATTTTGCCACAATTCGATGTGAATTCATGCTAAAGAAATATTGAAATAATTGACCCTTCAGAATTCTAAAGTCCCAAAACAAATTGCTATATTCCAGGTACTCTTCTAGGTATTTTTCACCTACATGACCTCATTTTATCCTCATAATGACCTTATGTGGGTGTAGAGGTTCATTTATTATATCCCTAACCCGCCCAGCAGTACTGTGGAAGAAAAGGCCTGGTGATCTGCTTCCATGAAGATCACAACCAATAAAACCCTATGGAGTAGTTCTACCCCTTAACATGTGGGGTCCAACTAACAACAGCAACATTCTACCGATGAGGAAATGTGGACACCTGTCTTGGTTACAGGTCACCTTGCTAGACTCTAATAGACCTAGATGATAGGGCAGTCGGGCTACGGAGTCTGTCCTTTTCAGTGTTACTCTAAAAGTTATTTTAATACTTGAAGACTACAAATGTCTTAAAGAAATCAGGTGTCCATAGAATAGTTTATCCTAAAATGTAAGTAATTCCTAAATAGTAATAGCTACCACGTAGCATGCTGTGACTTATTATGTGCTTGGCACTGTACTTAGCACTTTCTATACATTATTTTATTCAGTCCTCAAAACGCCTTGTGAGGTAGGTATATGATTTATTAATCTCTGTTTTACAAATGATACACCTGAGAATTAAGGAAGTTAAATAACTTGCTAAAGGTCATGTAGAACTAGTAAGTAATAGTACTAAAATTTGAATCTGGTCTGTTCACTTCCAAAGACCATGCATGCAACCACTACATTGAGCTACTTTCTCCATATTAAGATTCCCTGTTCCCGTGCCTCTTATGTTGGTGGTGGTTGTTAGTTGCTGTCAAGTTGGCTCCAACACAAGGCAACCCCATGTGCAAGAGAACGAAACACTGCCCGGCCCTGTGTCGTCCTCACAATTGTTGGAATCCATTGTTGCAGCCGCTGTGTATTTTGAGTGTTTTCCAATCTAGGAAGGAGCCCTGGTTGAACAGTGGTTAAGCTGTCAGCTGCTAAGCAAAAGGTCATCAGTTCGAACTCACCAGCCACTCCGTGGGAGAAAGATGTGGCTGTCTGCTTTCATAAACCCTATGGGGGAGTTCTGCTCTGTCTTACTTATTTGTTTGTCAGTTTTTCTATTTGTCTATTACATAAATAATGTAAGAGCTATGAGTCAGAACTGATGGCAACAGGTTTTGTTTGGTTTTGGTTCCAACCTAGGAGGCTTATCATCCAGCACTATATCAGATAATATTCCATGAACTTAGGGTTTTCATTGGCTAATTTTCAGAAGTAGACCAGGCCTTTCTTCCTAGCCTGTCTTAGTCTGAAAACTCTGCTGAAACCTGTCACCATGCGTGATCCTGCTGATACTTGAAATACTAGTGGCATAGTTTCCAGCATCATAGAAGATGCAAGCCACTGCAGTAGGACAAACTTTGACAGGCAGATGGTGGCTTCAGGCTGTGTATCCTCTTCCTAAATGACGTTATTGGCAATGAAAAATGTTGATAAGAGTAGCTGAAGGCGTTTTTATTTAGAGAAAAATTATAATATTAAAATACAATGTCAAAATATTTCTGGTTGTCATTTTAAAAAAAAAAAAAACCTCTCAAGGAACATGGCTGGTACTGTGTTCCAGAGTGTATTGTCATATCATAACAGTTTTGACAATCTGATGTAATCATATTTCATCTGTAATTGGAAGACATGTAGCTAGAATAACTTTTTGCCTAGGAAGTCGAAATCCTAGAACAAGGATTTCATGTTTACCTAGAAAAAGAAATCCTTCACAGTACTTTTTAAATTAGGATAAATATGATGAAATTCCTGACCTGATAGAAGAGAAAAATAATGGTTACCTGGTTGAGAAAACGGATTTATTTTAAATAAAATACAAGAACAAATAAGAATGTTAATGAGTCAGATTCTTCATTTTTGACCATATCAATAAAAGACAAATTTGAAAATAATGTTATGGCATAAGAAGTCAGATTTCCCTTTAACTTTATATAACAAAGATATGTACTTTGTCCTAAAAAAAAAATTAGTGTAAAAATCAAAGTGCAATTGAATTTAATATTAGATTTCTGTGTCAGGAAGGCCTAGTGCCCAAGGTCACAGGGCAAGTTACTTAAACTCTTTAAGTTTCCGTGGCTGTAATAATAGACCCTTTCTCCAAGGATTGTTATGAGGTATAAGGTGTGTAAAGAGCCCAGCCAGTCTTTGGCTCATAGTATGTTCTTCAGAATGCTTACTTTTCTTTTTAATATTAACTGCTTCCACATTTCTGTATGTGCTAGATTGGGATTCTGTTCTCTTCAGTGGTTCTATTCACCTGTCTGTTTCATAATACCTGTTCTAACAGACTGCACAGATTAACCCCACTGCCCGCCCCCCCCGCCACATATACACAATCTCTTGCTAAAGGAAACAGCATGTAGAACCCCAACTGGGGTTAACCATTTTTCATTTTAAGAAACTAGCAGAATCAATGCATTTATCAGAAATAAAGCATTCAATAAATATTTTTTGTGGAGTCCTTGATCTGAAATGCATTGGGTAAATGTAAAATTCATGTTTATATAGTCCCAAGTTTATATAGGTACAATTTAATGAAATGCTATAAATTATAATACAGAAAGGAAAACTGAACATACTTCTATGATGAAGCAACATGAATAGTATAAGAGCAAGTAACTTGCATTTTGCTTCACATTTTGTGATGTATTATGGCAGACCCAGGCATGAAGAAACCTTTTGGGTCAAAGGTTATATTTTCCCTTCCTATCTATGTTCCTCCTAGAAAATTGTCTTTTTCTGACATTTCAGGAATGAGATAATTTGCAGCTTTATTTGGGCATAAGAATACAAAGGAACTTCTCTTCTGTTTAAATCTTCTACCTTTATTGGAGCAAAGTTTACCTTATTGAAAAAGAACAGTATGTGCTGTTAAAACTACAAAAGTGTAACTTGATTATCAGTGATGAGATCAATAACTGATCATAAAAACTGAAATATACAAAAAATCTAAGACTTAACTTTAGCCCTTAGTGTCTTTTTTTTTTTAAAAAAAAAAAAAAAAAATACCATTCATCAAAACTTCTAGGAAATCCACAGTAGCTAGTTGTGAATTTATTTTCTTTGACCCTGGGAAATGTCAGTTTTAAGTTATATCGCTGTAATGTGTGATTGTTTCTAGTAAATATTAACGTAGCCATCTACAAGCAGATTTTTTTCCATTGGTAGCAATACTTACTGGGATAGAATTTGTGACCTAGAACCATTATTTCCCATTTAATACAAAACAAGCTTGTAAGATCATATAAGCTATTTAACATATTAAGCTGATGTTAACATGTAATTACCAAGTATAATGTCAGCGCTGCTTTACAGAGAAGACAGAAATTTCTGTCATATATATAGCTTTAAAGAAACTGTTGGTAGCCTATATTTAGTTCCTTTAAAGCCATTTTTGTCTCTAGTTTACAAATAAAACTCTGAATTAAGAACCGAATGGGTCCATCCCACATAGAGCGTCCCTGGTACGTTTAGTTTAGCCTGAGGTCCTTCGTGATCAGACAGAGGTGGAATCAGTTCAGCCCATGGATTTGAGCTGATTAAGCTGAAAAAGCTTCCTAGAAGTGGGATTGAATCCCCTGGGCCAGTCTCAGCCTCAAGGCCGAATCCTGGTGCTGGGTAGTATAAAGTGACTTAAGTAAATGGTGTTCACTTTCAAAACTTTTTTGTTTTTATATTGAAGTTTTATCAAACAGTACAAGTAGAGTTGTTCATGAATACTTGTCCCAATTAGTAGTTGAATTATTCAATAGCTACTTTTTCCAGAATAGTTCATCTTCATATCATTTTAGGTTTTAAAATCTCCTTCCTGAAACAGTAAATGAAAATTGATAATGAAGGAAATAGACATTTATAGATTTTACTAGGATTAATTGCCTTCTTAGTAGAACTACATATCCTTTCTATTATTTTAGTTGTGCCATTTATTTTTAAGTTAAGAGAAACAGTTGTTGAAATGCAATTTGAACCATTTTTTAAAAGGATAGTCTTGCAAATATTTTTCTCAGAGACCAGCGTGGTGGTGATGTTCCTGCCAGAGAAGACACTGAAGAGAAAACCGAAAGTGAAGTGAAGACATCACAAGAAGCCAGAGGTAGCCTATTATTTTCATATTATTGGTAGATGTTACTATTAATACTCAGCAATCAAAAACTTTGCTGGAATACAGCAGTCACTTTTATATTAAAGATGTTCTACATTTTGGTTGGTTTATCCTTTAGAGCAGGCAATAAAGTTTATTGTTCAAGATAAATATGTAAATTCCTAATGATATGGATTGAGTTGTAGCCTATATTACAGACTCACAGTAGCTATATAACAGGTAAGACATTCTGTTTGGTCCTTATCTATTTTCTTTTCATATATTTAACACTCAATTCAGAATTTCCTTGTATATGAAATCCAAATCGAATTAATTTGGTCTTAATCTAATACTACAGACATGAAAATTGCTTGAACAAATGTTTTAAGTTGTATTGGAGAAATTAATTTTTCTTACATCTTTGTTTTGAAAAGACATTACAAGGGTTTAATTAAGCAATGAAGTCATAATGATTGTTAGTCATAGTATAGATTGTATTTATAATTCACACATAACTACATAATTATTATTTATTTGTTATAAGAAAATGACAGCCTGTTTATGATTTTAATGACTACCCCTGGAGATATTGCTTTTCACGTTCATTTGTTACGTTTATATCAATTATTATATAGGAATCAAGAGTGGGGTGCCTAATGACTGTTTGCCTGTAATGACCTATTTCATAAATGATGCCTTGATTCCCATATCTAATTTTATTAAAGCGGTAACTTAACGATCAATTCAAAAGTGATATTCTCTGCTGTCTTCAGCATGTTCCTTGGTGTTTAATGTAGCATTATGTAGTGGTTCAGAGCACATGCTTCAGAGCTAGGCTACCTGGGTTTGAATCCTGGCTTGACGCCTGTTAGCTTGTGACCTGGAACACATCACTGAATACCTCTCAATGCTTCTGTTTTCCTGATTTATCCAGGAGGATGATGGTTACTCCTCATGATGTTGAAATGGGGATTAAGTGAGGTCACATTTAGAGCTTGCTTAGAACAGTGCCAGGCATTTAGTAAGTGCTTTGAAGTATTTGATACTTTAAAATGTTTATGTTCTTTTAAACAGGAAGAAAACTACTTTACAAAGGTTTTGTCATCAGGGTCATGTTTGGTTCTTAGACAAAGGCTTCATCTTTCCTTTGTGAATGGTGGCTTAGTGGAGAGGTTAAGCACCTTCTTTCATTTATATGTCATCTCCACCACTTACTAGCTGTAAGCCTGGTTATGGGCAAGCCTCTTGTGCCACAGTTTCCACCTATGTAAAGTGGACATAGTTACAATATCTGCATCGTTGGATTATTGTGATGATTAAATGAATTAGTGGCTGGAGCATTGGCTACTTGTAGTAGTAGTAGTAGTATTGTGGAATAAATGTCTATTGCATGAAATAATCTGACCCTTTGAAATTCAAATAGATTTATAATAAAGTCTTCTATACTCTAAACTTTCTGAGGGAGTAATAATTTGATAACATCTTCTGTTTCTTCCTAATTTAGTGGTTTATGTGACTTTATTTGCTGAGTCAAATTTGATACTATTTTTCTGAAAATCATCAGGTTTATTAACATATGATATGCATGCTATTCTTTATTTTTGTAATTTTACATCTTTTCTAATGTTTTTTTTTTTAATTTTTCTTGATTTGAATCACCTGAGATTTTCTGTTATTATTCTTTCCAAAGACGCAAACACTTGGATTCATATATAACTCTTACTATTGTGGTTTTCCAAGTCATTTATTTTTATTGTTTTTCCTGCATATAAACCTATAATTCAATATGCATATTTTAATCATTGTCTTATTTTTATCAGTGAAAGAGAGCCTCATAAAATAAGTTGTTTTGAGAATTTTGGCACATACAAGATTGACTTAACAATTTTTTTCTTTTATGTCCCATCCAGTTTCAGCTGCTTAAAATGAGTTTATTAATTCAGATTTTTTTGAGACATTTGATACAAGGCTGTTTCTTAAAACTAATTTTATCTGTAGTAAAATCGTGCTATGATTGTTGGATTTCATTTATCACCTTTCTTAGCCTTGGATTTCCTTTTTCTTTTTTTTGAAATTTTTGTTTCCAGACTCATTTTGTACAGGAAGGATTTAGATTTCTTAACTTTCTCAACTTCTCATTTAGTAGTTTATTGGCTTTCATCACTTCAGTCCCAAACCTGGTCTTAAACAGTGGTATCTGAAGTCTCCTATTCCTTGGTAATATTGGAGATATCTCAGATCATAGTCAGTGGGTGGCTATGTTCAATTTTTCCAGTCCTCCTGCATCTAACCCACAGCTTTTTCTGGAGCTGTGACCTATTATCTTAGATTGGCATCTCTGGAGACAGACCCTAAGAGTGGTATATGCAGCAAGTTTGTTGGTATGTGCTCTTGGGAACAACACTGATAAAGGAGTGAGAGAAGCAGGATTGGGCAGAATGAGAAGAACTGTGATGTAGTTACCACAGAAGCTTCCATTTATCCCAGGAGAAGCTCTGGAAGGCTCTTCAGAGTTGTCGTGAATGGCTCTTCAGAGTTGTCCTGAATGGAGGCAAGGGGGCCAGGCCTTGGTACTTCGGCATTGACCAGTCCTTGGATGTAGGCTGGAAGGGGGACTTGCTCTTGTGTAAGGAAGCTCCTTTTGGCTTAGGACGGTTCTTGAGAGGTAGACAGTTCTGAGCCATCAGGCACCACCAGGTGAAGAGGTAGACAGTTCTGAGCCATCGGGCACCACCAGGTAAAGAATGAATGCCTCGGTCCTGAAAGGAAATTTGAATGGTGTACCACAGTATCCACTACATCTAGTCAGTTGGTGGTTCACTGATTTTCCTCTAAGAAAAATAAAACGAGAGCAAACAAACAACCCAAAACGTACTTTCATATATGTGGGATTCCAAACTAAAACCAAACTTGTTGCCATCGAATCGATTCCAACTTACAGCGACCCTGGGCCAGCACATTTCATGCCATTCTTTTGGTTTTCAATCATGAGGCCAACCCCTAAGTTTAACTTTCTTTCATTAGTTTTGCCCAGAACGTAATAAGCCTTCTTGGTTTTTTAAACTCAGGTTATCTTTAGAGCCAAAGAGCTTCTTTCACTTATAGTTTTGTCATATCTGCTACATTTATTCTTTCTTGATTGCTAATACTTATTATCTATTAGACAAGGGATGATATTCAAAATATTTAGCAACTGGGTTGGCAGCCAGCATAGCACAGGACATCTAGAACCCTCCAGAAGCAGGGTCTCTAGGACCCCCTTCTATACTAGGAATTAGCCTTAGTTGCCATATCTTAGGGAAGTCCCAAAAGGGTCAGGTGGGAGGGCGGGGGGATGACTATTACCAGCCAATATGTTAGTATTTAAATATTTTAACAATGTGTATGTTTTTATTTTAAAATTGTGCCTTAAGTGAAAGTTTACAGTTCAAGTCAGTTTCTCATATAAAATTTTTTCACACATTGCTATGTAACACTAGCTGTTCTCCCTGTAATGTGACAGCACACTCCTCCTTTCTGCCGCAGATTTCCGGTGTCCATTCAACCACCTCCTGTCTCTTTCTGCCTTCTCATCTCACCTCTGGACAGGAGCTGCCCATTTAGTCTTATGTGTCTACTTGAGCTAAGAAGCACTCTTCACAAGTATCATTTTATCTCCCATAATCCAGTCTGATCTTTGTCTTAAGAGTCGACTTCGGGAATGGTTTCAGTTCTGGGCTAACAGAGAGTCTTGGGGCCATGTCTTCCGGGGTCCCGCGAGTCTCAGTCAGAGCATTAAGTCTGATCTTTTTACTAGAATTTGAGTTCTGCACTTCACTTTTCTCCTGCTCTGTCAGGGACTCTCTGTTGTGTTCCGTGTCAGGGCGGTCATTGGCAGTAGCTGGGCACTATCTAGTTTTTCTGGCCTCAGGCTGGTAGTCTCTGGTTTATGTGGCCCTTTCTGTCTCTTCGGCTAATATTTTGCTGTGTCTTTGGTGTTCTTCATTCTCCTTTGCTTCAGGTGTGTTGGGACCAATTGAAGTACCTTAGATGGCCGCTCACTAGCTTTTAAGACCCCAGACGCCACCCACCAAAGTGGGATGCAGAGTGTTTTCTTAATAAACTTTGTTATGCCAGTTGACCTAGATGTCCCCTGAAACCATGGTCCCCAGACCCCCACCACTGCTACTCTGTTTCTTGAAGTGTTTGGTTGTATTCAGGAAACTTCTTAGCTTTTGGTTTAGTTCATTTGTGCTGACTTCCCCTGTATCGTGTGCTGTCCTTCCCTTTACCTAAGATAATTCTTCTCTACTATCTAGTTAGTGAATACCCATCTCCCTCCCTCCCCACCCTAGTAACCATCAAAGAATGTTTTCTTCTGTGTTTAAAACCTTTTCTTGAGTTCTTACAATAATGGTCTCATACAATATTTGTCCTTTTGCAACTCACTAATTTCATTCAGCATAATACCTTCCAGATTCATCCATGTTATGAGATGTTTCGCAGATTCATTGTTGTTCTTTATCATTGCATAGTGTTCCATTGTGTGAATATACAATAATTCGTTTGTCCATTTGTCCGTTGATGCGCACCTAGGTTGTTTCCATCTTTTTGCTATTGCGAACAGTGCTTGCAGTGAACGTGGGAGTGCATATGTCTGTTCGTGTGATGGCTCTTACTTCTCTAGGATATATTCCAAGGAGTGAGATTGCTGGATCATATGGTACTTCTGTTTCTAGTTTTTTAAGGAAGTGGCAAATCGATTTCCGAGTGGTTGTACCATTTTACATTCCCACCAGCAGTGTGTAAGTGTTCCAGTCTTTCCACAGCCTCTCCAACATTTATTATTTTGTATTTTTTGGATTAATGCTAGCCTTGTTGGGATGAGATGGTATCTCATTGTAGTTTTGATTTGCATTTCTCTAATGGCTAATGATC